CAAAAGAAAATTCAAATGACATATCGAATGTTACTTCGATCATCAAGAATTAAGGATCGAATTTTTACTTTAATAAAGTTCTACTACCTAGGAAAATTACTTGAAACTGAAACAACTACTCTAGCACAAAGAAGTCAATTAAGAGGACTACTTACTAAGTATTACAGTCTTGTATCTATAAGGACGTATTATTTATTTGAAGCTTTAGGAGTAGATCAAATCCAACGAACCCGAAATGTAACGTTAAAGGATATTTACCAACTATCAAGTAATTCCTATCGATTCTTAGTTGATGAAGCTACTAATATTTGGGCAGTAGCTTCAAATTTAGAAGAGGAGGATTGAAGCTATGATTTATAACTGTGGTGATCATCTGATTTAGTTGACAAATATGACAGATTGGTTATATTTGACCGATGATGTATATTCATCATATTTATTATATTTGTTAACTTCATTAACTTTATTAAAATTGTTATATTTGATAGATTTATTTTATTTATTATATTTATCATATTAGTTATATTTATCATATTATATTACTATTAGTTTATTTTATATAAATAGCATGTATTTTCCCTTGAGTTGAAAGATAACTCGAGATAGGGTTTTGTGAATAAACCAAGAGTTCAATAAAGATACTTGTTATTCATTTACTATTACCTTTTGCCATGTCTTCATACAGGCTTGATTGTGATAAAGTTATTGTGATTAATTCGACGGACTGAATTATATCGTCTAAGTTTTAGTTCCAGCCCTCCGGCTAACACTGTTCTCCATCCCTAGCTATGGAATACTTAAAAAGTCAGTTAAGATAGATTTTTTCTGAAATATAAATCTTACAAAACAGCTTATTAAATCTGGTTCATATGTATGATCATGTAATCATACTTGTAACATTCATAATAAGTTAAAATATTACTAACATATTAAAAGAAATTGTTTGGAATTGGAAGACAAAGTCCAATAAATTGAAATGAAATGATAAGCTAGGAACGATATGCCGTTCACATTCTCTGCCAATCAATTTTTATATTTAATGGCATAATGAATTTGATAGTATAATTTAGACTATTACTGTATAAATTAGACTCCTAGACTATTTTGTTCAAACCCACCTCCCAAATTCTCTCATTCCTGCAAATTTACAAATTTGCAATTACCTTTTTACGATTTTCTTACTACCCTTCCTTTTATAGTATAGATTATAGGTTGTGGTGTTCGTGATTTGATATTATACACGTATCAAAAATATTTTGGTAGAAATTTGCAATTATTAATATATATTGAGTCAAATACTTGACCAACATTTCTGTTCACAAGCTGTATGCTGTAAAACGACTCCTAATATTATTCTGATACAGTATAATAATGTTTCAAGTGGTTTACATTCTGCCGATATATAAACAAAAATTTTTGATATCATCGAGCATCATGATCGCAGTTCACACATGTGAACAATTATAAATATTACCTGCAACATTGTCGCTCTTTACAATCAGGTATGTTTATTAATTATATCTTTCGATGTTATTATAATAAAAATGTAAAAGGGAAATAATAATGATGATTTCATGTTTAGGGAATTATCGGACTTTTCAAGGTTGAATGAGATTTATTATAGTGAATATGAACTGTTTTAATCGTTGTAATTGTTATTATTTTTTATTAAAGAAAAATTCTGCCATTTATATATATGAAATTTAACAGAACATTTTTGTCCAAGAAACTAATTTGGCCAGAAAACAATTATGTATGACCATTGAACAATATTGGCCAGACAACAAAATATGGCTAGTGAACAATATTAGCCCAAATGATCTTCATTACGCTAACTAGTCCAATTTCTTATACATGTAATAATAAAATAATAAACACTAATGAAAAATAATACTAATAAAAATAATACTAAAAATAATAATAAAATAATAATAATAATAATAATAATCGCTATAAAATAACAATAAAAAAAAATATACTAAACGCTAATAAATGCTAACAAAAAAATAACACAACCATCTTGAATATCCTGCATTGCTTATTTTTCCTTCTTCGTATTTTATTAATATAACAATAGCATACCACTCAAATTATACTTCAAAATCACATGTTAAAATTGATTGAAATTCAAATAAAGTGATCCGGCCGTATAACGTGAATTGAAAATCCAAATTAATGTGGCCTTATATGAGGCATTAAATTATGATTTCCATGATATTCCTAGTGGAAGACAAAATAAAAAGATGAGGGAATAAAATTATTATTATTAATAAAATGGTATAATTAGGAAGAATGAAGAAGAAAGAAAAGCATGAATAATTATTGCAAGACTAACCAACATTTGATCATTGTTTGAATCATTAATTTATTATGCTTTGTTTGACAGTATTATCCTTTCGTGCATCATATAAGATCTGTATGTCCAATTTATTAAATATGTTGATAATGAGCTTAATATTTGACTTATATATATTTATTTAAATGTTGTAAACTTTTCTAAGGCAAAATCTTCTGAACAGATTATAATTTTATAATTTTATAATTTATAGAAATCTATAATAGTTTAGAATTATTACTGCATTTTAACTTTTTAACATTTAGCTGTTTCAACAATAATAACCAGATAAAATTATTATTTAAGATAACATCATATGGAAACTTTGTAATAGGGATTAGAACTGGCTTTTGGTCGCTTGCATTAAATCAGTTACTATATTGACAACCCGTATATCTGATTAAATTACTTAAACTGAATTAATCAACCCGGGTAATTAAAAAAAATTTAAGGGTATCATATAAATATAACAAGGTCAAGCGTTAAATGATTTATTTAAAAAGCATTTAATTTGCCGATTTGCACATTATTCGTGAGAAGTTTTATCGAATGAATTGTTTACCGCAAATATTTATTTTCATCTTTGATGAGCTTTAAATTTGTTTAAATATTTGAAGATTAAAAAGCAATCCATGGGAAAATATTCTACGTAACTCCCGTTGAATTTTATTATTTATTTTCAATTCTTCACCCCACTTACCACTAACATTAGCTTTATGTATGATGAGCTATTCCTATGGCACAGATTCTATTATATATTCATTACCTTTAGTTAATACAGCTGATATAGCTATCAACAGCTGTCGATGCTCCAGAAATTTCTCTCAAAGTGCAACCATACAACGAAATTAAGTTTAATGTAAACTTTAATATTATAAAATTTGACCTGACACCTGATATACAAATGATGGAGTAGACGTTTCCAATTTCTACCTCATTACAAAGAAATGGTCAAGAAAAATTACTTTTTTAAAAAATGACTATATGTTTTCTGCAGTAATATTGAATTAATTCTCATATGAAACAAGCAAATTGTATAAAATGGTTAGTTATGATTCATAATCATGGAATTCAAGAAGATCATATATGCAAAGATGTGAACAGATATTTTATTTTACCATGTAATGTGTATTTTCGTAACATTAAGAATTAGACAAATTTGAAACGAAACTTATTTAATTTTCAGGACTAAAATTTAGGTGGAGTTTCTTTAAGGAATAAGGGTAAATTGGTAAGCTAGTTATTTTAGTATAGTTGTAATAAAAGGTTGTTAAAAACTTAGGTAAAGTAAGGTATAGGTATATGGCTAAGAGTTCTGTTAAGGATTGGTTGGTAAGTAACATAAATAAGATAAAATTTGGTAGGTTAATTATTGACAGCAACGAGTTGGTAAAATTGTGTTACCGGAGAATGCGAATCTTCAAGGTAATTATTGGAATTTTATAGCAAAATTATTTTTTAAGGAGTTATGAAAGATTAACTGTAGAGTGCTTTTAATATCTTTGTAACCCTGAGATGTTTAATTTATCTTCCAATAAACAAATATATAATTTTAAAATTAATATATAGTACTTTATTATCGTATCAATTCAACAACTTTAATTTGATTCATATACATTATATGTATTTGAACATTTATCTGATCAAATTGACAATATAAGCTATGCATAGGAACCTAAGGAAATTTTGAGCTAAAGTTATACTTGGCAAAATTAATAATTTCCATAGTATCCGATCATTTGATTTGTGTTCGGAAAATATTTTTGTAAATAATTCCTTTTATATCCTTATTGAAATTACAGAATTTTTTTTCTTTTTTTTTTAAAAAAAAAATATCATGGACGTTGAAAATGAAGTACACGTTCTAATAGAATCTGAATTCAACAAATCAAATGTCTCAGAAAATAATAAATGTTCTTATTGTGATAAACCATTTAGAGAGAAATTATGGTGTAAAGAATGTGATCCTTGGTTTATAATTGAAGAATGGTCTAGTGGAAATTCTGATATTGATAAATTTATTGAAGATACTATGTATGATGCAAGACATAAAGATTATATTAACTTTCTTGAATAGGTGCCTTTTGATAGATTCTCAGATATAAAAGAAATTGACGAAGGAGGATTTGCCAAAGTATATTCTGCAACATGGATCGATGGTAAATCATATTTTAATAAGCAACATGATGGAAGTTGGAAAAAATTAGTTTCTAAACCTATGAAGGTTGCTTTGAAAAGGTTAAATGTATCACAAAATATGTCAGCCAAATACTTTAATGAGGTATTTTACATTTAAATTTGATATTTATTAAATGAGATATTTTTAATTCGCTTAAACTAACTTTTATTACAAAAACTAGCTTAAACACATATAAAAACTCTGATGGTTTATTAAGTTTTTATGGAATAATTAAGGATCTTGAAACCAAAGAATTTATTATGATTATAACAAATTTTACCATATGGAAATTTGGGAAGTTGTCTTTCAAATAATTTTAATAATATTTTATGAAAAGAAAAAATTTATAATATAGAAAACATTATTTGTGAACTTAAAAATTTGCATAATTTAGGATATTGTCATAAGGATTTTCATAGTAGAAATATTTTGCAAGATTATAATTATTCTTATATTTCAGATTTTGGATTAACAGGACCAGCAGATAAGTAAAAATTGGATGATCGAATATATGGAGTATTACCATATATTGCTCCAGAAGTCTTGAATGGAGAACCATATACTTTTGTTTCTGATATCTACAGTTTTGGTGTAATTATGGCTGAGTATTTATCTGGAAACCCTCCATTTTATAATAGAAAGCATGATGTATCTTTAGCATTAGATGTTTGTAATAGACTTCGTCCAGATTTTGGAAAAGGAACTCCTGAATTTTATAAGAAATTGGCTTATAGGTGTATGAATGCAAATCCAAATCAAAGACCAATAAGCAATGAATTGAATCATATATCAAAGTTTTGGTATCTTTCTATTTATGATTATGAGAATTATGAAGATACAAAAAAATATGGATATTTTGGAAAAGAAATAAAAGAAGCATTTGAAGAAGCTGATAAAGATATACCAAATATTTCAATTTCACTTAAAACTAATCCTGATGCTGTATATACAAGTAAAGCATTTTCATTTATAAATTTGACAAAACCTATTAATTCATCTCTTATCGTCTCATATCTTGAAAAAGATGAGAATAATGAAGGTATTATATACTTAATTTTAAATTTTGATAATAAAATATAAATACTAACTATAATGCATTTCAATAGATTCACAAGATTCTCAATTAGTCGAGATAGGATTTTCCAGCTCCTTAAATTAAAAAGTAATTTAATGAAATATCGATATATTAAATATAAACTAATACCGATTTTATATATAAGAATAGACGTCAATAATTGAATTTATATTCCTGCATCATTTTACATTTAAATTAAATCTTGCTTATGAGAAAGTTTATAAAGTTATCATAATATTTGGTTAAAGAAATCTCTGATAACCTATTTAACATATCATAATAATAGTATTAATTTTAAAGTATATAGTATATGGTCTTTAAAAATTTAGCAATGTTTATACTACATTTTCAGATACACTGATGATTATGTATGTATGAAAAAGTTTATTAAATTAAATAATATATTTTTAGAGGTTAACAATATTACTTAAATGATTGCGATATGTTATCATGATGTTACGTGGTTAATGATCATTAGGGATATTTTGTATACATATCGTAATTAAACCTTATTTAGCTACTTAACTGACCAAAATATGAATTCATAGCAAAATAAATATTTTTATTGATTGATTTGTTCTATTTCATCAAAGCTAATCGATTTTTAATATTTCTACATTGTTTATTTATAAAGAGAAAAATAGATTTTTTTTTTTAAAAAAAAATAAAAAGTCAAAGTTATTGCTGCCGCTGTTGTTGTTGCTGTTTTTGCTGCCATTGTTGTTGCTGCTCATACACAATTACAAGACGGTTTAAATATAACATTATATCCTCTATATTTTTATATATTAGGTTATTTGCCCAATAAACTAATCGGAGATATTATCAAATACTATCCTCATGGTGAACAAAGTATTTACTAGGTGATAGTGTAAAAAAACAACATTAAAAGAAAATTTTAAGTTAAAATAAAAGAAGTGAAGTTCAGATGAGATTATTCGAGAGAATTTAAATTAATTATAATAATGATAAACGTCGCACAAATTTAAATACTGTAATGGTAGATAGCGTTTTTATATAAATATTGTATTTCTATAATTTTTATAGCTTTATTTGAATTCATAAAATTGGTTAACGGATCATATGATTTTAAAAATTTATTCATGGTTTCCACGTAATCAGTATTTAAATTTCTAATGATTTGAAGTTTACAAGTTATGTACATATCATACATACTAAACCAATTATTGGAATTTTAAATCCTGTTTTATCTAATTCACGAGTTGGAAAAGGCATTTTAATCATTATAATTATATTATTATACCTTTTTTGAAAGATGAAATTTTACGCAAAGAATGTAAATAATATGGGCTGTTTGAAAATCATATTACAGATCATATGATTTACTATGTTTCTAACTTGATTTTAATAGAAACCACCCATGTGGTTTATATAAGGTGTTACCTCTCATAAAACTTAACTATTTTTGGACATTAATAATTATTGTATCGTATGCATAAATATTTAAATTACGAATAATCTAATAAATTATGTTTGATGGATATTATAGCATTAACGTATGTGTAGTTTTATGTATTATATGGAAAACAATTAACCTAATGCAAGCTTAAATGTTGACGTTTGCAATCAAAAAAAAGCTTTAGTTTTAATTTATATTAAGTAATTTGATTTTAATTTTCTTCAATAAAATTCTATAATTTTTAAGTGATCGAAAATTTAATAATAAAATGAATAAAATGATAATTATGATAATTATTTTCATTTTGACTATTTTAACAAATAAAGTATTATATATTTATACATTTTATACATTTTAAAAATGAGCATCAAGTAGATTATATTTTACAGAATGCTGCATCGAAAAAATTGAATTATAAATTAATTATACGTTCTGATATTTGATCTTCATAACAATCAGCCTTCCATTAGCTGTGAATTCAGGATCTAAAAAATAATATAATGATGATTTATCTGATGCCAGTTATTTATATAACGTATCCCAAGATTTCGTTGGACTAATTTTATAGTAGAAAACTATTTTAAGGTTTAAAATGATATGTTTAAACTTTTAAATAATGACTAAAATGGCGTTAATAATATGTCACCCTATTCAAAGACATAAAGTAATGGGAAAATCTGTAAGGACGAGGAGGTTAAACTTAAAAATGTATAATTGCAGAAAACGCATATTCAAGGGAAAAAGATGATGCTACATATGAAAATTCGACTATTACTAAATTTGGATTTCTGATGCATTAGAGAAGACTCGGCTATTTCTCTTCCAAAGTTCATTGGATCTAACTAAAAAAAGTACAACCTGTGTTGTATCCAGAATATCCAAAATTTATTATGTTAATCTTTTCATTAACAATGAACAACTAAAGAGATTATTTGGAAATTCCTACATAAAAAAAACAGTTAAATTTGGAATGGATTATAGCAGGTCATTTATTCATCTTTCTCTTGAAAGATAAATTTATTTATTACAAAAAAGGATGATTAGGTTATGTCATGTGAACAGGTATTTGAGTTTGGTTTTTAATACTGAATTTTAGTATTAAAAATATACACAACATCATTTCAACGTAACTTACTCCAATTAATGATTCGGGCTAAACATAAACCTTTCGCCCAAATCCGATATTGGCCAAAGCTGATATTAATTCGAAACTAAATTATATATCCGAAACTTTTCAATTATGAGTGATTTATAAATTTAATAAAAATAATTAAAATTTATCAATTTTTAAATAACATTGATGGTAAATTATAAGGATATTTACTATTTTTATAAATGACCTTGGTCATTTTGAATTAAAATTTATAATAAAAATAAAGTCATTTGAGGTTATTTGAAGTCATTTTTCAATACTGAATAAATCATTTAACATTGCGAATTTCCTTTACTTATTGCAAGATCATATGATTTTTAGGTAAAAGGAGATGAAGATTCAAAAAAAACATGATGATTGTCGATTACAAGGAATATTATGATTCTTTTTATCCTCGACCCACTTAATTATTAAATTTTAGTGGCTTATACTAAGCTAATTCAACATCAATTTTTGCTGCTTCGTTTATATAAAAATGTGACAAATTGATAAATTTATTTAGTTCGTTAATTGATAAACACTACACTAGAAAAATAAGTAATTATGTCAAATAGTGCAAAAAAATCGAATAAATAATTTACTGTCATTAATCAAATCAGCTCGGCATAATAGAGAATTTCAATTATTGACGTCTATATTATATATAAAATCGATATTAGTTTATTTTTAAATAATCAATATTTCATTAAATTACCTTTAAATTGTAATGATCTAGAAATTTCTAATTCATGTAATTGGGAATCTTGAAAGAAATGCATTAAAGTTAATGTGTATATTTCATTATCGAAAATAAAGTTTAGATAATACAATACCTTCGTTATTTTCATCCTTTTCAAGATATGAAGTAATAAGAGACGAATTAATAGGATTTGTCAAATTTTTAAATGCAAATGCTCTACTTATATATACAGCATCATCCATTTTACGAGAGATTGATATATTAGGTATCTCTTTATCAGCTTCTTTAAATGCTTCATTTATTTCTTTTACATTATATCCATATCTTATAGTATCTTTAAATTCATCATATCTAGAAATAAATGTAAACCATAAAAAAAATATCTCTCTCAACTTATCGCGCGTTGGTCTTTGATTTGGATATGCATTCATACACCTATAAGCTAATTTCTTATAAAATTCAGGAGTTCCTTTACCAAATTCTGGACGAAGTCCATTACAAACATCTAAAGATAATTTATAATCATGTTTCCTATCATAAAATGGAGGGTTTCCAGTTGATAATTCAGCCATAATTACACCTAAGCTGTAAATGTCAGAAGCAAAAGTATATGGTTCTCTATTCAAGACTTCTGGAGCAATATATGGTAATACTCCATATATTCGATCATCCGATTTTTGCTTATCTTCTGGTCCTGATAATCCAAAATCTGAAATATAAGAAAATTTTTCATCTTGTAAAATATTTCCACTATGAAAATCCTTATGACAATATCCATATTCATGTAAGCTATTAAGGTTACCAATTATATCATTTAATTTATCAATTTTTTTCTCCCATAATAAATTGTTAAAATTATTTGAAAGAGAACTTCTCAAATTTCCATCAGGTAAAAACTGTACGATCATAATAAATTCTTTGGTTTCTGGATCCTTGGTTATTCCATAAAATGCTAATAATTCATCATCGAATTTATATAAATCCCAATGTGTTTTTAGCTAGTTTTTGTAATAAAAATTTAAGCAAAAACGAAATTAAAAATATTCTATTTAATAAATATCAAATGTAAATGTAAAATACCTCATTAAAATATTCAGCTGACATATTATGTGATCCAATTAACCTTTTCAAAGCAACTTTCTTAGCTTTAGGATCTAATTTTCTCCAAGTTCCATCATCTTCTTGCTCAAACTTTGATTTACCATCGATCCATGATGCTGAATACACTTTGGCAAATCCTCCTTCACCAATTACTTTTATATCTGTGAATCTATCAAATGACACCCATTCAAGAAATCGATGATATTTTTCATTCTTATTCGCATTTGCATTATACATTGTATCTTTGATGAATTTATCAATATCAGAATTTCCACTAGTCCATCCTTCAATTATATACCAAGGATCACATTCTTTACACCATAATTTCTCTGTAAATGGTTTATCACAATAAGAACATTTATTATTTTCAGAGACATTTAATTTGTTGAATTCAGATTCTAATAGGGCGTGAACTTCATTTTCATGGCTATTTACATCCATTATTAATTTTTTTTTTTTAAAAAAAAATTCTGTAATTTCAAAAGGAACTAAAATTAGATCTATAACGCAAAATATTCGCTGTTGTTGTACAAATCATGTGAGACAGAAAACATGGTATAGGATCGACCATCTGTGTGGAGTATGACGTAAAATTATGTCAGAATTACGGATAGAATTAGGGTTTATATGGAAAGGAAGGGTTGTTTATTTGAAGTATAGAAAGGCCATTACATCAAAATAAAGTCATACTAGATTCCGCATCATTCGCATAGTGTTACAATAGAAACAATTCATTTTTGGAATATAAATGTAAAATTGATTTTTCCGAATACCTAAATTTTTCTATAAACCATGATTGAAACTTAGCATTAGTCGAAAATGTAGATAAATTCAAAAAATTTTAATATTTTATTTTGGGAAAGTTTTTCACTTTACGGTCATATGATTCATTAATCGCGACCCCATTCAATTTCGTTCGTTAGAATTATTTGAATGCAACCCAATTTCAACAACACGAAATAATCTGAGAAGGAAAACGGAGTATTTTATAAATATGTTGAAATAAAAATGTAATATTGTTTTTTATTTTTTCTTAGAAAATGGATTGTGTTTATTGTGTTTTTAGTATAATTTACAGAGTATTAAGAACGCAGAAGAGAAACTATTTTCGTACAAAATTTATTCTCTGTGTTGTATTGCAGCCTCAATTTTTATGTGATGTGAAGGGTGATCTATATCGTGTTGAATGTGAGGAATATTATGAAAAACAATTGGCAACAATTTTTAACGATTAAAGAAAATACCTATTACTTTAATATGTTAGAATATATTATATAATAGTTTCTTTGAAAGTTGGGAAAAATATTATCAAAGTCATTATAACTTAAAATATTATATTAAAAAACGGATAATAACGTTTATATTTACGGATATTAATGATAAGAAAAACCAAAGCTATCATTCCTGAACATTGACGTTTCGGATTTTCTGACATTTCATACCCATATGGCAGTTCTTGACGATATGTCATTTCGTCCCTCTATGACTTCTTTTTTAATAGCTTTGCCTTCCATCAGCCTCAAATAATGGATATATTTAAGGAAGATATAAATAGACTTCGTTTTGCTTTGTTTTTCCATTGGATAGAATTAGATACAGAGCGCAGCTAAAGCAGTAATAGTTGGTATTAAATAAGCTACATTTACTTATTCAAATTAGGTGACATTATATACGTTGTTTGTTATGACGCACGATACTGCGCCTAACCTTATTGACGAATGGTAATCATGACGATCACGATTCTCAACTTTCGCCTCAATAAATGGCAGAGTCACTACCAATTCTCTAAGAAATCAATAATATTTATCTCTAAACTTATCTTTGCTCATAAACTTAATTCATTCTTCTTTAAATCTATATCAATAAAGATGACCTGACCCTTCAATTTAATTATTCGTGTTTATTTTTTTCATAGTTTAGACCAGGGTTGGCATTTGGCCATTGGCCACGGCCAAAATGGCCAAAATTTTTTTCAAGTTTTGGCTGGCCAAATTGGCCAAATATATATTTATATTTACCAACTGATAATTCTAATTCAAATAAGTTAGATAGCAATAATTTGGTAACCAGTAATTGTAAAAAGATGAAATATAGCTTATTAGAATCCTTATAATAAGCAGCTACATCAAATGGTAGTATTATAAAAAAGTTATGATTGATAGATAAATATTTATTTCAAAATATATTAAATTGTAATTTGCTAATAATATATTATTTATTGATTCTAAAGATTGAAATTAGTATCATTTGACATAGATCATCATAATAATTTAACAAATTATATTTTATCTTT